ACTGTATTTTTAATCAGTGGAACTCAGTATATAATTAGCTTTATTGAAGTTTTCTTTATCCAAACCCAGTAAAACAGATTCAAATACGCAGTCCAATCAGTGGATCTTAATGTTTATTAGTAAAAAAATATTTTATCTATTATCCATATATAGATAATCTATTTGATTGGGATGATAATTAGGATAATTAAAATTCTGGGCTTAATTTTTTTAAAAAATCTAAAACTAAATTTCAGTAGTCACATAAGCTTCTCAGTGAGTTACCCTTTTTTGTTTTTTTCTTAAAAGGCTAAACTTAATGGTTGTTAAATTGTGCAAAATATTGGTATTGAAGAATGCTGATACTTTTTTATGCCACTTAAAAGTTAATCAGAGTAGCTGAAATAAATTGTTTTTATAAAAACATTCAAATACTGTTAGAGAAAAAAAATTTTTTATTTTTTTGGCATATTTTCTTTTTTAAAGCAAAATATACCCAAGAGCGTCAAGTTGTAGGTAGTATTCCCGTTTCTAAACCACAACATTTAATAACCCATGAATGTTTAGGAGTTGAAGTTGCCAGTCCCTTTCTAGATGAGTTTTTTTCTTTGGACATTGGCATTGTTACGAACAGCTAGGGCCCCTTTATTGGAACTGGAGTCCTGGTTTTCCAGTCTGTCTGTCTGTAGAATTTTTATACCTGGACCTGGTGATCTAAAGAGCCTTTCAAAGACTAATCGTTGGAGAGATACCAGTGACAGTAGTACCTGTTGGAAGTTATGGCCATATACTTTTACCCGCTATGGCAGCTTACCTGTATTTTGTTTTGTGGTGTTTTTTTTGCCCTCCCATCAGCTGCTTTTGTCCCCAACTGTGGGTTGGATCATCAGTGCCCATTATTGTTTTTAATTCCTAAGATTTAAATTCTGAATTTGAAAGAAGAGTTAAAAGCTTTGACTTTTCTTAAACTTTAAAATTAGAAATGGCCCTAAAATTTTTCCTTTCTATGACATTCTTAACATGTATCATTCTGTGATTAAATCTCCAGTTTATTATTAAATGATACCTGTATTCTAAAAATTCCAATTCTCCCAGCATGACCTTAATGAAAAGTGAAGAGTATGGTTTTTATTTGTCTGCTGTTTTGTTGGAGTACAAAGTCCTGAATCTTTCAAGATGGTTAATTAATTTTAACTTAAAAATATGTTCGTATTACCTCTTACTCATCATACTGTCTTTGCATAAATGAATATATAGAAATAAAGAAAATTTTTTCAAAAGCAGTTTTTACTTCTGTCTAAAAATGGTTTGGGATGTGAGTGTGTTGGGTGATGAGGCTTAGATCCTTGAAATGAAGAAGTAGATATTTTGCAGTTTGTTGGGACAGTTAGCTCAGTAAGTCAAACTTGGATACAGTATGTTTCTTTATTTTTCTCTGAAATAAGGAAATACATTTTCATGAGAAATTAATGTTGGGGCTGCAGAAATGGTTGAGTGGATTCCATTGTAGTACATCCACAGAGCTTGGTGAGAATGGAGCATACATCCTGACTCTGCAGTTCTCATCTGAAGTTCTTTTTGCCTGCTGTACACATTGGGCTTAAGTGCTCTGACATTTTTGAGGTATTGGAACTATCTAATGTGGTTAATTGCTGTTGGATTGGAACCAGTTCGCAATTGATCCCCAAGCACATTTTCAGAGGCTGTAAATTACACAGGAGATTGCCCATCTTTCTCTCGTGGAGTACCCAGTGTATTTGAACCACCTGCCTAGTAGCAAAAAGCTGCTCTGCACTCGCAGAGTGCTTCGAGGCCACCAGCTGCTCTGTGGGAGATGGAGGGGAAATCTCCTGTGCAATGAAGTGCCTCTGAAAACTTGCCAGAGGATCAGCTATGAGTTGGTTCCAACTCAGGAACACAACAGCAACAACCTACAAATTGACAGTGCAGCTGTTTGCCTCCTAGGCCACCAGTGGTTGGTGGTTTCATTTTGCATTTCCCTCATGGGAGGATTTATCAAAAAGATCAGTGGTTACTGCTGCTTCCGGGTCTAGCTCCACTCCTATCAATCACATAAGCTGAGGCTGTGAAAGGGGAAGGTCTCCCCTCTGAGCATTTTTAAGCCATAGTTCTGTCATTGATTGATCTGTAACAGAAAAATGCTTAGGATAACAAGATCCTGCAGTGCCTATTTGCCAGCAAAGGTGAAATCTTGATATTTAATCTATAACAATTGTTGATAATTAGTAGTCCCTAAATTTGCATGTATGTGTTTATAGTAACTATTACCCAAAACACATGATTATCCCTGTCCGAGGTAGCATATTTTTGATGTCCCAACTTTAAATACCTCTCTCTCTCTCTCTC